AAGATATCATTTGGCCTTTAGTTTTGCCACCAACTAATTTGAAGTGATTATTTATGAACTCAGTGGGATTCATGGTTCTGTTAGCTGAAATATGCAAAAATGTTTGAAGAGATATTAAAAAGGATGGATTTGTTGGTGTAAATACTGAGATATTCCTCTTGCCAAAGACACAAAATACAGTCATTTTTATTTTGAACATTTGTTTTCACACATACACACATGGTGAATCCCATGTTCAGTGAAAGACAAAGGAAAATAATTGTTTGTAATGGTAAATAGTAATTAATAGTTTTATTAGAAATAGTGAATTTGAAATGAGCCACAGTTAAAAATCTTTAATCCTAATAACATGGTTTATATTTTCCTATTAGCTAGTTTATTATGTACCTCATCTTTCCAAGGGAAGGTGTTTTGTCTTTCTTGCTCTCTTATTACATACTTGTTCAAATTAGTTTCACAAAAGTTTTATTTGTTTCTCTGATTTAGGTTGGAAGTTAAAGATAAGACAGATGAAGTACATTTGCTTAATGATGCATTAGCAAGTGAACAGAAGAAATCAAGAGAGCTCCAGTGGGCTCTGGAGAAAGAGAAAGCCAAAGCGGGGCGCAGTGAAGAACAGGACAAAGAAGAACTAGAGGTATAGTTATCATTGTCTTTAAATGTCTCTGAACATATAAAATGATAGAATGTGTGCGACTTTCCTCCCTCTAAATTAACAACCTTAGACTCTTCGAAGATATAAGTTGTTCACTGTGCAGTGAGTACTGTTGGAGGGTTTTAACCTGTATTATAAGGAAAAGTTCACGGTATGATGATGTTTTTGTTTTGCTACATCCAAGGATGCATACAGACGAGACCACTGCAACAGATTTGGGGGATATGAATAGGTACACACACAATTTGATAAACAGGGAGTCAGGTCAGTGCAGGATAGTTTGGATTCCTGTATTCTCCTGGAGAAGGAAACAGAGATTCTTTTCTGGCAGCAGGAGCCCTTGCTACTTTACTTTAAGAAAATTTAAACTGAACATTAGGCTCTCCCAGAGAGGCTCCCCCAGCCTTGCAGGACACTCTGCTCTGCTCAGGACAGCTCATACTCACTACACCGAGTGCTCACTTGATGGTAGCCCCACTGGCTCAGAGCTCTCCTTCTGGCCACATAATTCTAGTTCCCACTACTCTATGCTTTAAAAAAACGTATTGCCAGCATTTTTGCCCATTTTTTGTTTTTAATGTTCATTGTGGTAGCCTCCAGGCACAGTGAACCCACTACAGGATAAGGACATGTTATCTCCCAAGGTACTTATTACCATTTTCTAAACATTGAAAATTTGCATAGAGGGTGGGCACAGTGGCTGTTCGCACCTGTAATCCCAGCACCCTGGAAGGCCACAGCTGGTGGATTCCCAGAGTTCAGGAGTTCGAGACCTACCTGAGCAAGAATGAGACTCTGTCTCTTAAAGAAACTAGCCAGGTTTTATGGAGAGCTCCTGTAATCCCAGCTACTTGGGAGGGTGAGGAAAGAAGATCACTTGATGGGTGGCACCTGTGGCTCAAAGGAGAAGGGCGCCAGCCCCAAATGCTGGAGGTGGTAGGTTCAAACCCAGCCTCAGCCAAAAACTGCAAAAAAAGAAGAAGAAGATCGCTTGAGCCCAAGAGTTTGAGGTTGCTGTGAGCTATGATGCTACGGCACTCTATACCAAGTGCAACAAAGTGAGATTCTGTCTCGAAAAAATATATATATATGCATAGACTTTAAGTAGTTTGTCCCTGGATTTACTGTCTACATAAGCCCTATTATTTTTAGCACATATGTTTACTATAAAACACAAGGATTTTCAGGAAATTATATTGCATCATATCAGAAGCGTTTATATTTTTAATACAAATTTATTAACATGCATGGAGTCTATCAGAATATAAGATCTCCAGGAGCACTTCCTTTTTTTTTTTTTCTTGCGGAAGACAGAGTCTCACTTTGTCATCTTGGGTAGAGTGCCATGGGGTCTTATCTCACAGAACCTCAAATTTGAGCTCAAGTGTCCCTCTTTCCTCAGGCTCCCAAGTAGCTGGGACTACCCACCATAACTCCTGGATGTTTTTAAGAGATGAGGTGTTGGCTCGGCGCCTGTGGCTCAACCGGCTAAGGTGCCAGCCACATACACCTAAGGTGGTAGGTTCGAATCCAGCCCGGACCGACCAAACAACAATGACGGCTGCAACCAAAAAATAGCCAGGCGTTGTGGCAGGCGCCTGTGGTCCCAGCTACTTGGGAGGCGGAGGCAGGAGACTTGCTTG